AACCCTAACCCTAACCCTAACCCTAACCCTAACCCTAACCCTAACCCTAACCCTAACCCTAACCCTAACCCTAACCCTAACCCTAACCCTCTCTCTCACCTTTCTCTTATCTCTCACCCTTACCCTTACCTTATCCCTTACTTCTCTTACCTTCTCTCTCACCTTCCCTCTATCCCTTACCCTTACCCTTACCCTTACCTTATCTCTTACCTTCTTTACCTTTACCTTTACTTTTACTTTTACTTTTACTCTTTTTTTCCCTTACCTTCTCTTCCCTTACCTTTACCTTTACCCTTACCTTCTCTCTTACCCTAACTATTTCCTCTATCTTCTTTTTAACTCTATCTTTATTTAACCTTTTCTTTACTTTATACCTCTTTTTCTTATTATCCTTTTCTTCTTTTATTTTACTCCCTTTTTACCTTCTTACCTTTAATTTTCACTTTACTTTCCCCTTTACCTTCTTTTACTTCTCTTTATTAACTTTTAACATTTACTTTTCTTCTACTACTATTAATCTTCTTTATACCCCTAACCTTTAATCTCTTTCTTTTTAAATAACATATAATATTATCTTCTTATTATCTTTACTATCTATAACTTTATTCTTTTACCTTTCTTTTGTTCTTTTATATTCTTTTACCTTTCTATCTTACCTTTTCACTCTTTTTGACTTTAACCTCTCTTTTTATTCTTTTTCTTTTTCTACTTTTAATCCTAACTCTTTTCTCTTACTTACTCTTAACTTCCTCTTATTCCAACTTATTCTTTTACATCCTTTTACAACACTTTACTCTTTACATTCAACTTTCTTCCCTTTTATCTTTCCTAACTTGTTTTAATTTAATAACCTACAACTTTCTTTAAACCCTTAACTTAAACCTTTGCGCATTACGCTTTACATCCTGCTATTTCTGCTATTGCCTTACAACTTTACCTATTTAACCCTACCCTTCTCAATCATCCTAACCCTTACCTATCCACCTATTCTTCAAAACTATCCTTATATAACACTTACAAATTCCCACATATCTATAACCTTACCTTAACCTTTGCATATTGCCTTTCACATACTACTATTTCTACTATCGCTTTACAACTCTAACTGCAAACTTCTCTAACCCTACTCATTTAACCTTGTTTTTCTTAATCATTTCAACTCTCACTTATCTACTTATTCTTCAAAACTAACCTTATATACCACTTTCAAATTCTTACATATCAACCTTAAAACCCTTTTTCTCTACCTATTACATCTTAACTTTCAACTCTCTCAACTATCTATTAAACCTTAAATACCTTTTCTTTACACAATTTACACTACTTTCTTTGTTATTGTTTTTTAAAACCCTACTTTTAATCTTACTTTAACTTTATGCTTTTATATCTTACCTTAACCTTACTTTTCATAACTTTGCAATATATTTATTATACTTTGCATACTAATTGCTTTAATTTTGCCATATATAAATCTAAACTTTTCTAACCCTTGCTTATTTAATTTTAATCCTCTCTTAACATGCAATAATAACTAATCGTAACATAATCTTTTATATAACTAACTTTACATATTTTAACTATCTACTTGTTACATATTATACTTATTAACCTTTCTTACCTTTTTTGCTTTGCTTTACATATCTTTTATTAAAACTTAACATTCTACACTTAACTTTCTATAAAATACATACCACTTAACCCTAAACTACAAATATACTTTACTTATCCCTAATAACATTATATACTCTATCTTAACCCAAAATCTAACTTTAACCCTTAACACGCTTTACATTACTAACCATACACCTCTCTAACCCTACCTATTCAACCTTACCTTTCTTAATTATCCTAACCCTAACCCTTATTTCTAAAACTAACCCTACCCTAAAACCCCTCTTTCTTACCTATCACACCTTAACTCTAAACTCTCTCAACTATCTATTAAACCTTAAATACCTTTTCATTACATCTTATACACTTAACTCTTTGTCATTACTTTTAAAATACTTTTACTAATCTTGTTTTAACTTTATGCTTTTACATCTTACTCTAACCCTACTTATTACAACCTTGCAATACATATATTATGCTTTGCATACTAACTATTTTGCTTTTCTTATGTACTTATAAACCTAACCTTATCTATTTAATCTTATTCTTACTTTTTACCTTTAACTTTAACTAACTTTAACATACTTTTCTATATAACCTTACCTACATACATTAACTATAACCTTATTACACATTACACTTTTTAACCTTTCTCAACTCTTGCATTTTCCTTTACATACCTCTTATAAAAACTTAACCCTTTGCAAACTACATATTGCTTTACATTAAACTACAAATTTACCTTAATCTTACTTAATAACCCTACATATTTTATCTTTTTTGCTATTATCTTTACTTTATATATCTTCAACTGCTAACTATCTTACCTTTCCTTATCAACTTATTTAATATAACCCTTTTAACATTCTTTTATTTACTTTAACATTTTGCTTTAATAAATGCTTGATAAATATTAACTTACTTAACTTTACTATATATTATACCTTAAACTATCTAACTATATTTAAATCCTATCTATTTACTTTATTATACATCTTATTTACTCTTTATGCTAAATTTACTACTTATTAAACTTATAACATACCAATTTACCTTACTTTTGCAAACCTATTCTACATACTACCTCTTCTTACAAATGCTAATAACTTTACTATTTATATTACCTAACTTCTCTAATTAACTTTTAACTATCTTTAACATACCAAATTATATTATTTATTAACTAATCTTTACCTTATTATTATCTCGTTTGTCAACTTTCCTTTTTATTATATTTCTTGTCTTTATTATCTTTTAATACATTTCTTTAAATTTCTTCTTGACTTTATTTTAACTATTAAATATACACTTAACATAATACTATACTAACACTACATGTTACATAAACCTTTACTTAAAATATATACTTTACTTTATTACTTTCTTGCAACTTTTATTTCCCTGCAAACCTATCTTCTAACCACCCTAAATATACTAACATATAACACCATTGCTTTGCCTCTAACCTTGCCTATTTAATCCTCTTCTCAAACCACTCCCACTACTGCCTTATCTTCTACCCATCTACTCTATCCCTCTCTATCAACTTTCGCACTACTTGCCTTGCCTCTTCCTTGTGCTACGCTGCCAATCTTACAAACATCTACACTATCACCTTACTATATTGACATTTAACCCTCCTAACCTCCCTAAACTGCCCCCTGTCTCTGTCAATTGCCTCTTACCAATTGCATATTGCCTGCAACACTCTGCAATATAAACACCCTAAAAACTTCTCATACTGCCGCTTTGTAACTATCTCTCTAACCACCTGCTGCATCCTATCCTCTATATCCTTCCACTCCTTGCTACCTTGCATCTGACACTTCTTTGCACCATAATACTGCCTTTCCTCTCTTACCACCTAACACAATATGCAACAACCTACCTAACTCTCTAACTGCTACCAAAACGCCTCTGCCTTTTTATACTCTCCTGTTGCCTCCTTCCCTACCTGTTGCCTCTTTTGCTCTGCTATGCATTACGCTTGCAAAAACTTCTCTATCTTCTCACCTAACTGCCCCTCCATCTCTGCCACCATCTTTCCTAACACCAACCCTAACCCCTCCTTGCACTTGCACTTGCACTTGCATACATTGCACCTTTCCTTACCTTTCTTGCAACACATATAGCCTTCTTGCCTATCTATCACCTAGTCTAATACTACCTGCCAGCACTATAACCCTTCTATAAACTCCTCCATTGCTACCTCCTACACTAACCTATCCTTGCCCTCCTCTCTTTGCTTCACCTAACTGCCTATCCCCTTTCCTTGCTGCCTCTAACTACTGCTACTCTTGCAAACCATTACTGCCTTGCTTGCTTTCCCGTCCTGCCTTGCCTGCCCACTCTCCTACGCATAATCTTGCAACTAACGCAGCGCCTTTGCATATACTACCATCTGCACGTCTGCAACGTCAATGCCTATCCCTAACGCATTTGTTGTCACAATCACTTAACCATCCTTAACCTACTCCCTCAACTGCTATGTCTTGCCCTCTATTGTATCCACCTTGCTGTAAAACACTAGACACAACAATAACTCTCCTAACTATTCCACTTGCTTAACCTCTCTGCTATATACAATCACTTTCCCACTCCTATACTTCTCCAACCCTCCCTGTATAACCCAGCACACCTCTTTGTCTTCCTCCTCTGCCGTCAAAACTCTCTTTACCTAGTAACCTATGTTCTTCCTTGTCATTGCTAACCTAAACAAACAAACCCACTGCCTGTCTACTCTTATCCTCGCGAAAAACTCCCCAACATCTGCTAGCGCCAATGTCGCTATCAAAAACACCACCTGCACTCCTATCTTCCACAACACCTTGCCTAACTTGCCTAACTGCAGCTAGAATATCCTATTGCTATCTAACACTGTGTAACACTTGTCTACAAAAACCTAGTCTAACTGCCCCTACGCTTGCAACTAGTTGACAAATGACTAGAAACCTTTTATTACTGCCAACTCTAGCGTCACAAACATAATTAACGCTGCTTGGTTTACCCTCTAGCTTTGCCAAACATGTAAATCAATCTTGCATGACTTGCACTGCCTATGCAAATCTTCTTGCAATGCTACTAACAGCACCATTACAATTGTCACTTCTTTTGGCAAACAAAACGCTAGCAACATAAATGACATGCTCTTACCCTCCCCTATCCTTGCCATCTGCATAATCAGACTCTTCCCTTAGATAATTGCCTAGATCATCTTCTCTTGCATGCTGCAAAACTATGCCTCCTTCCCTATCATGACTCTTAACTAACCCTCTATGTCTACCTACTGCAACTGCGTAAACTGCTAAAACTATGCCTCCTTTTGCATGCTGTTAAATACGTCTAGCTTCTGTTTCCCCCCTAACCCCAACCCTGCAACCCTATCCTCTGCGCTAAACCTGAAAAATCGATGCCACTTCTAGCTAATCGCTTAGAACTAATCCTGCCATGCAACTATCCCAAACGCCTCCTGCTGCAACTCTTGCACATATATTATCCCTACTACATGCATGCTGTGTCTAGCCTGCAAATCCCAAATGCTATCCAACATGCCTTTGTTGTCTTTGTTAAACTTGCCATCCTTGCCTATATCCTCTCCAAACGCCTTGTTTAAATATTGGTTTGAAATTGCAATTGCAATATGCTTCTACACGCTTATGCTAACCTACGCCTTCAGATACTACCTGCTATGCTGCTGCATAATCTGCTATATCTAGTCTAGTGTCTACTTCTGCTCCTAGATCTATGCTGCCTGTGTAACCTTATCTTCTGCCTCTCTCTTGTCTCTAACCTTGCCTTCTTTTGCTCTAACTTCTGCCCCCCTAACAGCTTTGTCCTTGCGCTTTACAATCTTGTCTGCCTACAAAAACACACTTGGCTTGTCTACCTCTTTGACTATCCTTTGCACCTGCTGCCAAAACAGCAACACTAACCACAAATATTATACCAACAACTTGCTTACCTTGCGCAGCAAGTATTAGTGTATAACCTTAACTTTGCCTATGCTGCAGTAATTCTTGTAATATAACACTACAAAACTTGCCATGCCCTAGTCTATCAATATGTTGCGCACCTTGCTATATACTATATTGCAATGCTATATCTCTATAATCTCCTACAACTATGCTAGCATCTTTTCCAACATATGCATCAATTGCAATAACCTTTTCTAGAACTGCTTTACTGCTAACCTATACTTGCGCACTGCTTTAGCCTAGTATAGCATCTTGTTGCTGCCTCCTGCTGCTATCTACTCCTTTTACTTGTCTGCCTGCTGCAAAATCTGCCGCACTACCTAACCCTAACCCTTTGCCAACCACTTGTTGCAATTGTCTTGCAAAAATAAATATCTAACCTAGTCTTTGCTATGGTTATCCTCTATCTGCCCTTACTCAATCGCTAGCACTAACCTGAAATCATTGCCTTCTACTATCAACAGCTTGCCTAATTTAGCCCTTACCTTCCTAACTATCTCATGCAATATATCTGCCAAATTGTTTGTCTCAATCTTTATCTACTAGTATATAATCTAATCTCCAACCTAATCAACCATCCTTGCTGCTAGCGTTGTAAACTAGACTTGCATTCTATACATGCATAAATCAAATATCTAATCCATTAGGCTTAGCTTAGACTTGTCTAACATAACTGTCATAAACTGCTTAACCTTTAGCCAGGTGATTTTGAATAATCTAGTTGCTGCCTTCTGCGCCTTCTCTATACTCATTGTCTTCTCCAACGCTGCCACCTTGTCTTGCTACTTAACCACTAACTAATACACAACTAATATCTGCGCTATCTTAATAACTGCCAAATACTTTAGCATGTAATCCTCTAGCCTATACCAACCGTTGTCATTGCATAATCCTAACATTGCCAACCTGCTAATCAATGCATTCTTGTATAGCATATGCTTGTATTGATAGTTGAAAAACGCAACTGTTGCATTCAAACACAACTAGTCTGCCTAGTCTTTACACCCCTGCCGCTCTACCTTATCCAACAGCATTATGCCTTCTACCTGCACACGCTTCTCTACTACCTTGCAAAACTTGTCAAACAAATTACCCTGCTTCTTGGTAAATGCGTATAGCAGCTAGTCCCTATCATCCCATTCCTATGTCTGCTGCATGTAACACAATAACTTGCAGTACACTTCTTTGTAATCTGCCCACATATCCTCCTCTATCTACCTGTCAAATAGCTTCTTTTGCTTGACATGTACCTCCTTTTTGTTAATTTTAAACAACATTGCATACCTGCACTGCTTTACTACCATCCCTCTTGCCTACTTTATTACCTGCTCTATGCTTTCTCATATCTGCTGCAACATTACCTTGTCCTTGCCAATTGGCTTAACTATGCTGCGCAACTAGGCTAGGTCTAAACCTTTCAAATGCATTGGCTAACTAATGCAGTCCAACCACTTGTTTAGCTTGGCCTTCTCATTGCCTGCCTCAATCAACTGCCTCTTTGACTTAAACCGCGCTATCTAGGTTGCATAGATTTGTGTCAGCTGCTTTTCCAATGTCTCTGCACCTACCTCTGCTACCATTGCCAGCTTGCTGCCCTAGCTAACCTCAAACCACCTGCTTGCCACGCATGACTGGAAAAACTGCTAGCAATACACGCCTATTGTCTACAGCACTGCCTGCTCCTGTTTCACCCTCTTTACCACATTGCCGCCTCTAACCTATCCACTCTTCTATCTATGCTTTTTCCCACAATAATCTCTCATCTACTATTTGCCTTGCGTAACAAACCTGCACTTGTTGCATTGCAACCTGTTAGACTTAGGCAGCGCAATAAATAGGATTAGGTCAACCGTTAGTGGCAGGAACCAAAATGTCTGCAACTCATCCTGGTTCTGCACAATACCCTCCAATCTCTCTACTACCTTCACGACTTCCGCTTGCTGCCTTGCATTTATATAATCATGCTTTCTGCGCAAATAGGTCCTGGCTTTACCTGCACAACATCTAACCTTGCATTTTGTGCAAATAACAAACAGGTATTTAGGCAAGCAGTTAAATAGCTTCATGATTTCTTGCTAACCCAACAATGTCTCAATGCTTTAAACTATTCTACTCAACCTTAGAATCTCAACCCCTTTCTACTTTTTTGTTTACTCCTATCATGTTACCCTTGCACCAAATGGCTGCTCTAACTAGTCGTTGGTCTTTAACCCTAGTCTGTCGCAATCTCGCTCCAACCCATCCTAACCCTAACGCTTACAATTCTAACATAGCTCTACCTCTTTGCACCTGCTGCTTAGGAAACTAAAAGTTCCATAGCTAGATTCTTCTCAATTTGCTAATTAAAAGCATACTACTTTTGTTTATTTTGGCCAAGAAAAAGTCTTCGGCAGCTACTCTCCTTTTCTCTACAGCAGCTACCCCCTGTCTTCAATTGTAGGTCTGCAATTTGTATGGCGTTTTCTTTGGATAGCTACTACACAGCTCAGCCGTATTTGGAGGTAGGTGGACAGCCAGCGTGGCCCGTGCCTAGGACCGTGTAATTTAATTGGCCGAACTCAAATCTGCGCCTCAACCGTAGCCCCACTAAGAATTCTGCCGGCAGAATCGATCTTCAATCCACCGCC